AGCCATTATTAGTTTCAAAGTGGGTTCCTCATCATCGAATTTGAAGTCTATGCCTAGTAGTGAGTTAGCAAGAAGTAATGTATCTGTAGCACTGATCTTGGTTAGGAGAAACAAGTCTGTCTAGCTATAAATTATTAAGGAGAAACTAGTATCTGTATGGCATTATGCTTAATAAGAAGAAACAAGTGTATGTCTAGCATTGAGTTATTCAGGAGAAACAAATCTTTCTAACATTGACTTCATAAGAAGAAACAAGTGTATATCTAGCAATAGTTTAGTAAGATAAATAAAAGTGTTATCAAAGTTATGTATCCTAATTTTCAGAAATTTTGTACATTGAAAACAGTTGTCAGAAACTTATTTGAGTGCGTCAGAAGTCTAAACTAGCATTGAAGAAAGAACTGCAGAATAATCTCGTAGGAAATTTCATCTTGAAGTCTCTTTTTAGTGAGAGCCAGTATTAAAATCACTTGAAAATTGTCTTTTGTCACTTATTCAGAAATGGTTTAGTTAATATTTCTTGGAAATAATTCATAGGAAATTTTATTTTGCCTGTTTTTTGTTATTCAGAAGCGTTGTAAAGGGCAAGTTCTACTAGACCTGATATTTCAACATTTAGAACTGATAGAGAAAGATTACTTTGGGCTCCAGTTCTCTGAGGTGACCGGTGGCTTGGACACTATGGTATGTAAACTACAATTTTTTATTTTCCTATATAGGTTTGTAAAATAAATATACTTAATATATCATCTTTTCTTCCTTTAAAAACTTCTTACCGTACCTAAACTAGCAAAGAAAAGTAGTGTAATAGAAACTGTGTTCTACAGTTACTAGAGTTTAATTTGAACATATTCATCTTATTTTAAATCAACAACCTTTTAACTCTTTTGACATGGGCTCAGTCCCTGGGACCACATCACGGTAAATCTGTACTTTTTTAATGTTGACATAAATTTAATACTTATAACTCTCTATATATATTGGGTATATCTTCACAAAATTTGGCAGTCTTTCAGTTAATATTACAAGTCTTTCACATAAAAAGTCATATTTTTTAGTGAAGTACTTTTAATAAAATAAAATAAAGTTTTGCCCATGAATACATTGTGTATTTGTTTTGAATAGTCCGTGTGCAAAGTAATTTTCAAGTTAAAATTAAAAATACTTTTTGCCATCTCAAAAATCCCAAATTTCCTTTGTTATCCTAAAACCTCATAAATGCATTTGAAACGTTTTTTCACTACATCCTTATAGTTTGTTATTTTTTGTACCCTAATCTCGTAACCATCCAAAAAAATTGAAATAAACCTAAATTAACCTTCATTTGTTTCTAGTATGACTTCAAATTGTACCATGAAACTACATTCATTTATCCTAAATAGCTCTTAATTCATAACATTATACATCTATTTATAATTAAATTTTATTGTTTTATTGCCCCTTGAACCTCACCATTGTAAATTACTCGGGGATCATGCAGCTCACATTACGCTATCGAATTACATTACCCACGAGCTGTTCGTGTGCGTGCTTCGTGAACAATTTTAATTATTATTACTTATTTTAGTCTTAAATAATTTAAAAAGATTCATACTTTTAATTTTAGTTACTTTTGTAATAATAAATAAAGAATAAATATGAAAAACAAGAAATAAAGTACTTACCCAATCTTCTTTTTTCTTGCCCTCGATTGTCAATGAGAGTTAAGCCTGATTTTTTAGTGATTATAGTAAAGCACTTAACAATTTTTAGTTAATTAAATAATGCACCAAAGAATATAGACCAATATCATGCGAAAAGTAGACAAATTCACTTACTTCTAAAATTTAGTTCTGGCTTTCTAACTATGCAACAAGAACCGTTAGAAATTCATCCAAACTAGTTGTTAACTTCCCCAGGGGAATGATGTTGCTACTCAGAGTGACATTGATGGTTATCTGTTCAAAACACGATGTTATACAACACGCCATTTGATAGATGAAAATCTTGACTTTCCATTGGTTATAAATAAAAAACGTAAGAGAGAACTATCAACCAATTGTGAAAGAGAGGATGTGGCGGGAGGGGTCTGATTTTATCTTTGCTAGCTCAGTAAAAAAACAAAATTGAAAGCCATAAAATTATGGTCCGTTTGAGTAATAATGATTTTATAGAGAGCATTTTACTTTTAATTCCGTACATTTTTGAGGGGTGATGGATAAAATAGAGATGATGACATGCTAAGACAAAATTTGTCATGCGTATTACACTAGTGGATATTCGAGATTTTTTATATATTTCCTTTTAGAATTAAGAACTTAAAACTTGTATACTATTAAAATATGGATTATTAGCTAATATTTTATGCTATCCTAATTGGCATAACATAAACAAAAAGTAGTTTAATAAAATTTTGAATGTAAGACCTAAAACCTTCTGTCACGCGCAGTAAAGGGTACCCATGCCAATAGGGTTAATAATATTTAAATTTCACCATTTTCATTTCATGTAAGTTTTATTGTAGTTTACTTGTCATTTTACTCTACAACTTTGAAAAATTCAATTAAATGTTTTCTGGTGTTTTCTTTTTTATAGCCACCGACTAATTTACAATATTACATGTATCTCTCTTGTTGTTTGTGTGGTTTGTTTACAGTGTTACATTTATTTCTCTTATGTTTTTATGGCTTACTTACAGTGTTAGATTTGTTTCTCTTTTGTTGGTTTTATGATCTGTTTACAGCATTAGATTTCTTTCTCTGATAGTGGTTTTATGGTTTTTACAGTATTACGTGTTTCTCTGTAGTTAGTCAAAAGGTTTGCTTACAGTGTTAATTTGTTTTCCTGTTGTGGGTTTTATGTTTTGTTTACAGTGTAATATTTTTTCTAAAGTTGTAATGTTTTAATACATAAGGTTTCTTTCTCTATTGTTTGCTTTATGGTTTTTCTGTTATTGGTGTTATAATTTGTTTAGTGTGTGTGTGTGGCTTATGTTTTTTGTTAGGTTTATGATTTCTTTGTATTAACCCTTTCCAGACAGGTCATGGGTGAAAGACCATGTCATTGCATTTGTTGACTTGCATTCAAAAATTTATTGAACTACTATTT